TTATAAGCCTTTATGCAATTGTACAGCTTTTTTTAAATAATCTTTATTTCTGTATGTCTCGAAGAACTTGTGCTTATATCTTAAAATGCTGTATCTCAAAATAAACTTCAGAGTCTCAGCTTCCTGATAATGTTCACCACATCTATGCCAAAATGGTGCGGGAATGGTAAAAGAGGTCGCATTCTACAGCTTGTATCCCTAGCAACATTCATTCCTGACATCACCAGTACCAAACTGCTTGACTTGTGAAATTCAGTGATGGTGTAAGAGCTAGAGATGCAGTGCTTGTCCGCATTTTGTTTATCAGTGAGGCAGTAAAGGCCCCTCTGTGTCAAACCCAAAGTAAGCGCACCTAATATACACAAACACTACTTGACTCATGTCTGAAACCTAATGAATTCTATGAAGAGCTACTTAACCGTGTGACACCCAAATCCTGCTGAAAGCAATACTAATGACATTCTTAGAAACAGCATTAAGACCATGTGACACTAAGATTCCCATTTGAAAACACACACTGTTAAAGAGAGGCAGAAAAAAGTCTGGACAAGATTAAGTTATTACATTGGAATACAATTTATGCCATCATCGGAGGACAGATGGATGATAGAAGAATGGACACGGAAAGTAGGAACTGGTGTGTGTGTGTGTTTGGTATTGTGTGTGTTGGAGGCCTGCAAAACATAAAATGTAATCTCTGGAATGCATTGTGCATCTCTCCCTCTAACTATGCCAGTGTGTTGAGAGATAGAGATAGATGTGGATAGATGTGTGTGTGTGTGTGTGTGTGTGTGTGTGTGTGTGTGTGTGTGTGTGTGTGTGTGTGTGTGTGTGTGTGTGTGTGCGCGTGCGTGCGTGTGTGTGTGTGTGTACTCCAGGACAATAGCAGTTAGTCGCAGTATCAGCGTTTTCTGTTTGGGAGACAAAGCAGCTACTGTTCAAACGACCGTGGACACTGTTGGGCGTTGGCACGCTGCAGATTAGGAAGAAAAAAAATTCTCGGGTAAAGTTGCCAGTTGAAAATCCCTAAAACCCCAACAAAGTTATAGGCAAATTGCTCACTATTCTTTTCGCAGGGCCATTGAATTAGACCCTTAACTTCTACAAGCTCCTTGAATGTGGCTATTCCTGCCATCTCCCCTTGTGAGTGAGTGTGGGAATGTGAGGAGGGGGTATTGCTAAAAACAAATAGAATACTGCTTTGGAAACAGACGTTTTTAACCACAACTATGGTAATAACGAGAAAAACTCAAGATATAAAGTTGGTTCAATTCCATAGCTAAAACATTTTTGGTTTTGGTTTTTTGTTTTGTTTCTCAAGCTATTGTTTGAATCACTTGCTAATAAATTGTTACACCAGAGCCTGTGACATTAGCACGTGATGAGTATGTCCGAGAGTGTGTGGAGAGGAGTCTGGGGCACGTGCTTGTTAGGGAGCAGCAGCAGACCAGAAAACTAATCCGGTGAGACCCCCATAATCTGCCAGGTTTGTGTGTGTGTGTGTGTGTTCTGCTCACCAGACAAGCCCCCGTAGGGTGCTCTGCTTTACTCTGCATTTATCCCCTAAACCACGCCCTAAACTATGTGGTGCTTCTGCCGTGGCTGCACTTTGAGGCAGAAAGTTAAAGAGCCCCACGCTCAAAATCACACACACTCACAAACACAACACACACACACAACATATCTGATCCTATTAGCGATCACATCATTGACACGCTGCCACTCACGTGTGGCCGACATGACTAGCAAGAGAACTCACACGGAGAATGTGTCAATCATTTCTGAGACAACAACAACTTGTTGATGTTTCCATTATCATGTTAATCAATGTCTAATCAGTCAGACTTACACTCTGAGGCTACATCACATGCAGAAATAACTTAGGTGGTGTAAAACCAGTGTTGATAACAACTAGCTAAACGACTTCCCAGATCTAACAGATGTAGTCCACAGTAGACTTCTTTAGTAAGTTCATTACACTTTTAGATGGTTTTTTATTTCTGTATTGTCTGATCTAGCTTTTCCACATTTTTCTAAACAGTTACTGTACGTCAAAAATAAAATGGTCTAAAATGATCAGGAATGTAATATTTAAATGATAAAATGTAAGATTTTCTAAATTAAAAAAATAAGGATATTAATAGGGAATATTTGATCTTTCTTTTCCAGGAAAAGTGGAGAATAACATACACATGGTGCAATGGTGCACACGACAACCATGACACATTGGTTTGATTTGATCCCATGTGATCAGAACAGAACAAGGCAAGTTTATTTATATAGCACTTTCCAACACAAGGCAATTCAAAGAGCTTTACAAAAAATGAAAGACATTAAGAAAATGGCATTTAAAATCAGTCATTAAAAAGAAAAGATAATAAAAGAAACATTAAAAGAAAAAAATACATGGATAAAAGTTTCAGTGCAGTTTAAGATATGAATAGTTCAATTAAAAGCAGCGACAAAAAGAAAAGTCTTCAGCCTGGATTTAAAAGTAGTCAGAGTTGCAGCGGACCTGCAGGTTTCTGGGAGTTTGTTCCAGATATTTGGAGCATAATAACTGAACGCTGCTTTACCATGTTTAGTTCTGACTCTGGGGACAGAAAGCTGACCAGTCCCTGAAGACCTGAGAGATCTGGATGGTTCATAATTTAGCAGGAGGTCAGAAATGTATTTTGGGCCTAAACCATTCAGTGCTTTATAACCCAGCAGCAGTATTTTAAAATCTATTCTTTGACACACAGGAAGCCAGTGTAAAGACTTCAGAACAGGAGTGATGTGATCCACTTTCTTAGTGTTAGTGAGGACTCGAGCAGCGGCGTTCTGAATCAGCTGCAGCTTTCTAATAGATCTTTTAGTGAGACCTGTGAAGACACCATTGCAGTAGTCCAGTCTACTGAAGATAAAAGCATGGACAAGTTTTTCCAAATCCTGCTGTGACATTAGTCTTTTAATCCTAGATATGTTCTTTAGGTGATAGTAGGCTGATTTAGTAACAGTTTTAATGTGACTGTTGAAACTCAGGTCAGAGTCCATGACTACACCTAGATTTCTGGCTTTATCTGTTGTTTTGAACATTGCAGACTGAAGCTCAGCGCTAACTTTTATACGTTCTGCCTTGGCTCCAAAAACCATTACCTCAGTTTTATCTTTGTTTAATTGGAGAAAGTTCTGACACATCCAGTCATTGATTTGTTCAATGCACTTACTCAGTGTTTTAACTGGAGCATAGTCTCCTGGTGAAATTGTTACGTACATTTGTGTTTCATCTGCATAGCTATGGTAACTTATTTTGTTGTTTTTCATTATCTGAGCCAGTGGTAGCATGTAGATGCATGAACTAACATCCAGTAATGATCTAAAAAGATAAATGTGGAAAGGCTGCTTTAACATTCATATGTACATATATTTTTTTTAAATATGTTTTTTGTTATATTTTTCATTAGTTTTACCAAAATAACTTGATTTAATTGTATTTAAAATAACATTTCCAAAGAAATAAATCGTTCAAATCTGCCTATTCAGTTTCTGTTTGAATGTGAAGGGTTAAATGAAAGAAACTCGTCTCTGCGAGTTACTGTGAAGAGAGGAGCTGATTGGTGGTCCTGCTGTAAATTCACAGAGGGCTATAGTAACTGAACGAGAGAGTAATGTCAAATGACGGTACAATTGACCAATCATATCTTCCCTCTAAATGGGTGGGTTTTATTATCGCAGACTTTATGACAAGTTCCGCCCGCTGTGAAGCTTTTCTTGTTTCCATAGCAACAACAACTTCCTGTCAACAGCGTAAACTCGCCTTCAAAAATAAAAGCATGCCAAATTACACTTAAGACATGTAACGAAAGTAACAAAAACAATGCAATATCCTTTTCAATTTCAAAGAACACAAATTGGGCTATTTACAGGTGTTGTTTTGTGTGGTAGAGGGTCGCTTTCATTGATGCATTTTGCACCCCGGGCCGTTGTTTTGATATTCCGCTGAAGTATACGTTGTGACGTAATAACTCTTTTTTTTCTTTTTTTTGAGGGAAGGGGTGGGGGTCAGAGGGCCTAGGTATAAAAGTCATGGCTCGCCACTGTCATTGACCATAACTAATATTGTAGTACATTTCTTGTGAGTGACATGCTGGCTCTGCATGCACAGCAAACCACCAATCACAATACTTTTTGATCAGTTTATGAACGAGGAAAAAGTAGTCCTCACTAGTCATCGACCACAGGCTGAGAGATGAGCAGACAGAAAACTGGAGCAGAAAGATGTGGTGTGTAAATAATTGTACACACCACAGAACGTAAAATACATGACACTTTTCTCTGTGCGCGGCAAAACAAGCTCGCCAAAATGGCTTCACCGGTCTGGCATTATTTAAGGTGTCCGAAAAAGACAGTAAAATAGCGGTTTGCAACGTGTGTGAAGCAGAAATCCTGCAGCTCCGCCCGCTGTGACGGACCGGTGAGCGGAGCGAAACACACAAGAGTTAGACCTAACACACTTAGCTATTTTATCTACCTCTGGAACAAGCTCAACTAGCTATAAATATGTTTATTCTTCACTGTCGGGTCACTCATTACTGGATCAGTGAGCTGCATGAGATACTGACAGGCTGTCAGGAGAGAGAGAGAGGGGGAGAGAGCTTATTATCCAAAGTTAATGTAAACTTGAATAATGTACATCATTTGAATGTAATAATTATGTTGGTTGTTGTTTGTGGAAGCACCAGTGAATGAGCCCCATTAACTGAGTTTTAAACATCACTTTAAATGGAAGACCCCCATAGGCCACGCCCACTCAATCGGATCGGCGATCGGTATCGGCCGATACTGATTCCGGCGATCGGCTCCAAAATTGGCGATCGGAGCATCCCTAGTTAAAAAGGAGGTTACTTCTCTTGAGGCCATGCATGCTGAGAATCCAACTCTTCTCAATAAAACATTTAAAACGAGCTCAGAATCTGCAGATATGATCCAATAGTAAACCTTCCCCATCTTCTGTTCTCCTCCATGTTTATGCTCTACGTTGCGACTATCAACAAAGAAATGTGGAGTCTTACCTCCACCTCGCAGGTGAAGTCTGTCCCGTCCAGGAGCGTCACGCGACACACCGCCAGCTTCATCTTGTTCTTCCTCACCAGTCGAAGAGGAGACTGGAAAATAGATGTATGGCCCTCCTCTCCTCCTCCTTCTTCTCCTCCCTGTGCTTCACCTTCTCCTTCCTGCTCCTTCTTCTCCTCCTCTGCTCCCTCTCCTTCTGTTACTGCGGTCTCCTCGGGACTTTTCTCAGCACTCTCTTCCAGCTTCTCCTCCTTTGCAGGCTTGAAGGAAATAGGGATTTGCAAAGTAAAAAAAGGAGATAAATTGTGTTAAAACGGATACACACATGGTTCCCCACTGAAAAACCCACTCCATCTTCTATACAAAAGCCACTTTTTGCTTCGTGGTGAAAGAAAAATCATATAAAATGTGCCCGTTTGTACAAAACTAAGTAGGAAAGAGTACTGCTCTCCCTATCACTCTCCTTTTTCTAATCTGAATTTGCTCTTAGAATCTGCAGGCGTTCCTTTTGGCCTGATTACTGAAATGTTGATGTCACTGGGTGGGCCTGGGTGGCTTAATATGATCACTGGATGGCCGAGCAACAGTTTTAAACAGATGGACTGTGCTGCTGTGAGTTTGTCAGCGTACCTGCTATTGTGTGAGATGCTATTTGACTAACAACATATCAACACTGGCTTATTGTTCAATCTAAAAATGAGAGTGTGTGTCAGCAGCAATATGTCTGACTGACAAAGGAAGACATTTGTTTAGGCAAAGTACCCTTCACCAGCGTACTGTGTGTGGCACATTAACATCTATGATTATGTGCAACCTGTCAGCAGTGCATATTCTCATATTGACATTGGAAATCAACATTAACCCCCTTAGAACTACAATAGCCGCTTACCTATTCATTTATTTTTTTGGACAAATAAAATCTAAATAGGTGTGATTTCAATTGGTGGTAAGGTGGATTTTGTTATAGTTGGACAGAGCCAGGCTAACTGTTTCCCCCTGTTTCCATTCTTTATGCTAAGCTACGATAGCCTGCTGCTGGTTTTATCTTTATATCCAGCATACAGATATTAAGGTAGTATTAATAATCCCATTTTACATTCCAATTATTACGCATGAAGCTAAAAAAAAAGTAACTTTATCAACAAGTATAGGGTATTTTTGCTGTAAATAACTATGTTTTTGTTTGAAATATATTTGATGTTTTTGTTTAGTTTGTCATTTTGCTTCCACAGTTCTAACCGTATCCATGTTGTTTAATAACCAATATTTTGGGAGAATAAATAGTGAGAGATCATGCCTCAACCAAAACTTGTATCATGTGTGATCTTGCATGCAGACTAGATGGAGACTCCTTTGTACTTATTGCTACGTATGAGCCGTACCTCTGTGTCTGCGCTGGCTGTGGAATGAGATTCTACTTCTTTTTCCTTCACTTGGTCCGACTTTACTGCCTCGTTCTCTTCCTCTGCGTGACCGTTCACTGCTGGGACAGGCCCGTCCTCTTCCTGTGCGTCCTTGCTATCGCTTTCCCCGTTGGTTGGCTCCTCCTTGCTCGGGGAGGTCTTTGAGAGTAAGGGGAGATTTAAAGCCCAACAAAATATAGGTGTGCCGGAATGAGTCCGTAATCCGGGAATGAGTTAGCATTGTAGAACTTCTGGGTTCTATCATCCAGATAAAATGAATGAAATAACGGTAACATAAGCTAACGAAATGTTCATGCTGTGTTTTAGGACATAACTCATGTCACACTCGTACATTTCTGAAGCTTTTGCCTGTCTTAAAATAGGGGTTTACCTCATTAAAAGTGACAAGTGTGGTTTGTTTATGGCATTACGTTTATTATTTACTTCTGATAATTGTTTTTGTGCTTCAAAATGTCTAAAAGTGATGTGTGGAGATGATACTGCTGAACAAAAACACGAAAAGTATTTTAAAATCCAATGGAAAAAGAAAACATTGTAAAGCAATCTCTTGCCATGCTATCTTCAATGAAGTACATTTTAGAAGATAAAGCCATAGTAAAGTATAGAAGGTGTATGTAAGGGTTTTACCTGAGACTTCTGCTTCTTAAGCCATGTTGGCAGGTATCGAGCTATTCCTTTTCCCTCCTTCCCGTCTTTCTCCTTCTCCTCTCCCTCGGCGGCAGTTACTTCCGGAGCTTCTTCTGAGGCCTTCTCCGATTGGTCGGTCTCAGCGGCTGACTCCTCGGCTTTCTCCTTCACCTCTGTCTCAGAGCCCGCTTCTGTCGTCATGGTGACACGTCAACCTGCAGAGCGAGGAAGGAGAGCGATGGACAAGCATTAGATTTGAAGTATTACAGGACAAAGAATGATAAAAAGACTTTTATCAGGAAGAATACATAGCTCTACTTTACTTGGATCTGTAATATATGCCCGAAGGGAAAATGTATTTAAAAAATACATGTTTTTTCCAATCTTTATTTTATACTTAGTATAATGATATCACTTTATTTGGGCTACTGGTACAGTATATCACAGAGAGATGGAGAAAAATCAGACTGCTCCACTGAATTTGGCACAAATATAAATCTTTTATGTCACGCAACTTCCATTTGAGTCTGGACTATATTTTATAAATGAGCCACATGGTCTCTTTCTTTACCGAGCTATCAATGTTTCCCTTCAAATGGAAGGAAGACAGAATGGAAGATAAAGACAATATATAATATATATAACACATGTATTAAATCTATGGCAGTTTTATCAGTTTTTCAATGCAGCCTTTTAGTTCACAGCTGTTTGCACCTGAGCGCATGGCAGTTTGAAACATTAGCTGTTGTTAGCTCTTTTTACACAAGAACACAACAACACAAGAGTTGAGGATGTCATGATGTCACACAACGAGTTTCATCTGGGTCAGCAGCTGGTTACAAGGAGTGTCACACACACACACACACACACACACAGAGTGAAAGAGGGGAAATTACTCAATTCTTTATGCGAGTCATTGTTTTGACCCTGCAGCTGTGGTCAACACACACAGACACACACTCTTCAACCCAAATATCTTTGGCAGTGCTGTCCACACACACCCTCTCAATGCGTCATTTGGCGTGACACTAATTTCATGATATAACACTAGTTGACCCGTGAAATTGGGTCTTGAGGGGAAGACGAGGTCAGAATGTGCAAACCTGTCCGCTAAGGGAGTCCACCTACATACACACAGTCTGCTTTTAAGTGTTTTTGATTGAGTTTCCACACGAGTGCCTTCAGGCTGAGGGTTAAGCATGATTCATACTCTATTGAGTCATTGTCATCTACTGTCCTTTCAATTCCTTCTGAATCATTGTCTCTCTGGCCCTCTCCTCTAATTCCCTTATTCATTACGTCGTCTGTATTTTACTTTCTGACCGTCTCCCACTTTCTCTTTTATACCTTGCCACCTTCAATAGGACACACACACACACACACACACACACACACACACACACACACACACACACACACACACACACACACACACACACACACACACACACACACACACACACACACACACACACACACACACACACACACACACACACACACACACACACACACACACACACACACACACACACACACACACACACACACACACACACACACACACACACACACACACACACACACACACACACACACACACCATGTATACATTACTTCAGGGGACATTACATTGACTTACATGCATTTCCTGGAGACTTATCCTAACCTTAACCATAACCAACACATGCCTAACCCTTACCCTAACCCTAACCAAGTCTTCACCCTAAAATGAATGATTCCCCTTATGGGGACCTCCAATTTGTCCCCATAAGGGAGGCGAGTCCCCACACGTGACTGTGTAAACAGATTTAGGTCCCCACAAGTATAGTAATGCTAGGCCACACACACGTCAGTGGGGGGGTGGAGGAGGGGTGTCAAAATAGAACAGGTCTCCTTACGCATGATCGGCTAATGAGGCAGGGTGGGGAGGAAGGGATGGAGAGAGAGGTGTGTGCAAATGTCAGACAGGCAATATAAGTGTGTTCTTTTGCAGATGAGGAGAAAAAAACCAAATGCCATCGTTTTCCAGGAGGGAATCTTAGTGATAAAACACAACAGACAGCAATCAGCAGCACTAAGCCCTCTGGTTCTTAATAATGATGTTTACCTCAAACCAGGTCAGATGCATTTGGGGGTTTCTCCAATGTAAGGACGGACACATCCGTCTCTAGGTCAGAAGATGATTGCGTTCGTTATGTTGGTGCACACTGGAATACTTTAAGATGGATTAGCGTGACATTTGCTAAAATCATTCATGATCCCCACAGGATGAATCCTACTGACTTCATTGATTATTTTACTTTCAGTCTAGTACCAGCAGCAGGCTAACGTTTTGAGAGAGAAATATCTCTACTTCGCACATCACACATTTGTTTATTTACATTTCATGGATGATTCTGAATGGCTCTGCTGAATTCTGCTGAGTCATCTCGGCATTGACCCAAGTGTAGCGCTGTTCCCTCACTGTAAACAGCAGTTGCATCTTTTGGGAAATATTAAACTATGGTAAGTAAAAAAAAATGTAAATGCTCTTTTAATGGGTTACATTTCCAGAGGGACCTTTAAAGAAAAAAGGTACAAAATAATATATACAAACACAGATCGAAATATTACCTATTTTGTACAAAAGCCAATGTTTTGGCAGATTCATTATTATGTCAATAAACTGACATGCATTATTATATATCTTTAATTTTGTTAACGTATTTGACATCAATTAAACATTATTTACAATATGTTTGCACTATTGGAGCTTTAATTATGAAAATCAATAACATGTATACTCAATGCATTGTATAACATTTTTCAATACAGTTGGGGATAGTTGTGTACAGTGCAGGCATGATGACACTGTTACACAAGCTTTAAAAGAGCAATCATTTAGAAGTATTAAGAGTGTGCAGGTTGTTTTAATCTGCGCAGGCGATCCGAGTACATTATTAATCAATTTGAGCATATTCTTCTCCCTATTTATGAGGATTGGGGTCACGCCCAATGTGCTCCTTCGACCCTTCAGTAGAGTCACCATCCATACTGCAGCTCCCCTCCTCAGGGACACCGTGTTTCTCAATGGACTAGCCAGCAGTGTATCTGTGAGTGTTTGTGCAAGTTGGCATCAGAGTGCAGCTTTCTGCAAGACGTTCGTCACGGCCTCCTCTTCAAACCGGCCCCTCTTCAAACCGGCCTCCTCTTCAAACCGGCCTCCTCTTCAAACCGGCCCCTCTTCAAACCGGCCTCCTCTTCAAACCGGCCTCCTCTTCAAACCGGCCCCTCTTCAAACCGGCCTCCTCTTTAAACCGGCCCCCTCTTCAAACCGGCCCCTCTTCAAACCGGCCCCCTCTTCAAACCGGCCCCTCTTCAAACCGGCCTCCTCTTCAAACCGGCCTCCTCTTTAAACCGGCCCCTCTGTCCGTAAAACGGGGAGCCTTGTTTACCTCCCTCACAACTTTAGAACTCACCCTCTCCTCTCTTTCTATCTTCCACTCTCCAGCCCAGGGTGCCACTTTCTCGTTTTCACTAAATCTCTGCACTCATCTCTCTCTCAATCCCTTCCTTCCGGGCCCCCATTCAAATCGTCCACTCACATCATCTCCCCCTAAACCCCCTCCTCTGTCTCTGTTCTTCCCACAGTCCATTAAAACAATAGCAGTGACATTATGACACGCTCTCTCTTCATATATACATCGTAAAATAGTCTGCATAACATCTAATGCAAGTCCTTCATGGGGGATGGTAGTCATGACAGTACTTTTATTAGGGATGCACCGAATATTCGGCCACCGAAAATTATCGGCCGAAAATGGTTAAAAAGGTGATATTTTTTCGGTGCTAAAACCCTTTCGGCTTTCGGCCGAAAGGGTTTTAGCACCGAAAAAATATCACCGAATGTCAAAACAGGCTTAAGTTGGTAACCTAACGTGTTGTTGTGATGACGTAATAAAGACGCGGCGACCATGTTCGCGGCTGGCTCACAGGTGGGGGGGGGGGGACATTGACCTTTGTCATCGAGATTGCCCTGAGCCTTTAACAAATCGTATTCAATAATCTGATGACAGACTGTAAACAGAATAGCTGAAATTTTAACAAATTAAATAACTCAGTTACCTCTAATCATTAACCCATGTTTGTATAACTCCGTGTGTTGCTGCTAGCATACATAACACCTGACGTGGAAACGTTACTCGTGATGGAGCTACAGAGCTGCTAGAAAGACAGTCGAACCCGGTGCATTCCTCCGTCTGCATGCGGTGCACTTTTGCTAAATGTTTAGACAAATTGCTCGTGCTTACATGCTAAACTCTTATTGCACTTATGGTAACAAGTATTCTCCACATCGAGACGGGTAAAGTTTAACCACACCTCGGAGCGCGTTCTCTCCGCCATCTCCGCAGTGTGCTCCGCTGCATGTAGCAGCTGCGTGTGTGTAAACTGCCCCGCCCCCTCGCACACAGACGGGAGAGAGATCTCGTCTGATCGAAAATACATCATAGACGCATTTGTTGTCTTTGCATATTAGAAACGAGTTGGCGACACTAAGACTGCGATATAATGTTTTTTAGCAATAATACATGACATATATAAATGTACTGTATGCATTCAAAAGTGCTGAATAAATGTTTTCCATCCATCCATCCATCCATCCATCTTCTCCCGCTTATCCGTGGTCGGGTCGCGGGGGTAGCAGTTCCAGCAGAGAGCCCCAAACTTTCTTTTCCCTGGCGACATCAACCAGCTCTGACTGGGGGATCCCAAGGCGCTCCCAGGCCAGCGAAGAGATATAATCCCTCCACCTGGTCCTAGGTCTACCCCTTGGTCTCTTCCCAGCTGGACGTGCCTGGAACACCTCCCTAGGGAGGCGCCCAGGTGGCATCCTAACTAGGTGCCCGAACCACCTCAACTGGCTCCTTTCGACGCGAAGGAGGAGCGGCTCAACTCCGAGTCCCTCCCTGATGACCGAACTTCTCACCTTATCCCTAAGGGAGACACCAGCCACCCTGCGGAGAAAACCCATCTCGGCCGCTTGTATCCGCGATCTCGTTCTTTCGGTCATGACCCATCCTTCATGACCATAGGTGAGGGTAGGAACGAAAATGGCCCGGAAGACCGAGAGCTTTGCCTTCTGGCTCAGCTCCCTTTTCGTCACAACGGTGCGGTAAAGCGACTGCAGTACCGCTCCCGCTGCTCCGATTCTCCGGCCCATCTCACGCTCCAT